ATTTAAAAGTGCCATGTATCCAGTTTCTTTTGCGAAACATTTTTTACAATGGTTTTACATTTGCTTTTTTATTTTATCGATTATTGATCTAAGACCTAAGATATAATGGATTTTAATAAAAAAACAGTTATYAATTTTATAAACTTAGATATTTATGATATAGGTAGGTAATTACTAATAATCTTGTAAATGCCACTTGTGTTATTTATTTATTTATTTTATTTTATTTACGCCAAACGGCAATTACAAAAAGTTTATAAACAATAATAGAACAGTAATAATATTACAATATAGGTACAGCTTAAAATTAGACTAGTTTACAAAATGCACATTTTATGATATTTTTTTTTAACTTCTATAAGGTCGATGCTGGATCAGATGTTATAGGTATTCGGAAATTGATACGGTATTTATAAACTCGGAATACTGGTATGATCYTCAAAACTGAGTCAAAAGTATAATAAACTATTATTAATTATCAAAAGAATACGACGTGCGCTACAGTTACACAAACAGTAATTTTTATTATTGTATCATACGATTCAAACGCGTGACTTGAAGAAGATCGAACAYATAATTTTTATAATTTTTAAAAAGCAGGTTCAAGGTGATTGAGTCTCGAGTCAGTAAATGTTTAAAACAATTATAACATGTRTATTAAAAATTTTAGGGAACATTGGACAAGGCATGTTTATATAGTACACCATACACAATGATGCTTTCACGACGGCATATTTGGTGCAGATGATGTTGATATAGTAATCAGTTGTGGGCCTCTGGTCATATATGCATCGCTATACAAAATTGTATCACCAACCATTTCGGTAGACGAATGTACCTATCAAAATAGATGTTGTGTGACCCGGTCTCGGAAGTGACGATACGCGGCGAACGGCTTGTGCGCTATGACTATGTGTCGATAGCAGTGGTGATGACGACGACAAAAAAAAGAAGCAAAACGTGGATCGAAGAAGCGGTATTGTGGAATCGATGACCGAATTACCATTCCATTGATACACTCTATGATGATGTACCTATAGTTTTCGCTCTTGCATACTGTCGATGAGCCTTGAAGATAGCTAATGGCTGACTTACCAGTTACCACCGAACACCGCACGTAATCTGTCACGTATAAATCCACGTTACTTTATTTTGTCTGGTTGCCTTCGAATATAATATTATAAGAGTGCGAAGGCTGCGGCTGGTATCATTCACTCGGGAGCAACGGCAACTGAAGAACCGCTCGTCCTCATCGACCTACAGTAAGGCGTTTTGCGCAGTTCGAGTATTGCTCCTGTTCCGCACAATTTTAATAAAATCGATAACCATGACAGCAGATTACGTGATACGACTCATTAACGTTTGTCATATCGTTATTATTGCCATGTTATTACCTATGAGCGTTTGAGCCGTCCACCGATATCATCGGCCCGAGCATATTCGATCCTACTTGTAACTACGTTCGATTGCTATTCACACGCACATGAAACGTGTAGTCTTGTTTTCGTATATTTCAAAGTATCATACACTCGATACACATACACAAGGCCAAACTTCCGCCTAGGCATACTATAGGCAGCTGCCTAGGGGCCCTTGCCTTCCTGGGGCCCTCAGGGAAACACACACAAAAWRGGTATCACACATATAAATTGATCAACACGGAAAATAGTTCGTGAATAATACCTATTGAATATTATATTATTGAGAGAAAGTAATTTAGAAATTGATATTATTATATGTTGTGTTGTATTTTTATGG